AACAACAATTTAAAGCAGTATTACACTTATTGTTTTTATGCTTAAACCCTTTTTCGTCATTGACCCATATGCATTTCCTTATTAATTCATATATATTTTTTTTTTTAATCCATGAACACATTGTGTAAACTACCCAGAAACACATAACCCTGTATATCCAACATATGAAACACAGTTAACATAATCTGTCTAAACTATGCAAGTCTTTAAAAAGCCCTCTGATTTCTAATTTCAAAATTAATCAGTCTACAGAATTCATCATTTTTGAGTCACTGACCCTTTTTCTTTTACCACATTACCACGGTAAGACAGCCACTGAAAGTGCATGTCACAGGTTGAGTAGTGAGACGTGCTGGTGTTGATGGAGGTGGGAGGGCCAGCTGGATGTTTCCCCACTCGCAGCGTGGGTTGACAAGAAGGGCTGCTGGGCGGGGGTTTTCTGTTCAATTCATTTATTTGAAATAATACCACCACACACCCTCTTATTCACTATAAAACCTCTCACTATTCTGACCGACTTCTTAAGCAGAACATGGGAAAATTTTTAGAGTACCATGTATTGCCGTTTCGATATATAAAATCTTTATCTTATTGTGAAAAGTGTAGGAGAGACCACACCGTTTGAGCATGTCTCCATGTTTACCCCCAAAGGGGTGAATATCTAGCGATAGATTCCATTCCGCTGGGTGTTCCAGACATACAGATGGCTATAATATGTCACGGACATTACATATCAGTCTGGCTAAAGCATATGCTTTTTATTTTTTATTTGTGGGAATCCCCATTACACTGCAAACATAACAGTACTGTAAATCATCAGTGGCATTAAGACACCATCAAAGCCTTTCATAAAACAGAAAACCTCATCTGCTAATAAAAGAACACGTTTAAAGTCACAAAATGCAGATTTTTACTCATGTGTAATTGATATGAATCAAGCCAACACTGTGATAAACAAAAATGATTTCAGACCATCCTGAGACAGAAATGGTATTTCCCAGGTTGAGTAAGTAGACACATATTTCCCTGTAATCGCAACACTTTGCTCTGCGCTGTTATCAAAGCAAATCCCACATATCTGGAAGAGACAGAACGATAACAAAAAGAGAAGCACAAAGAGCCACTTTCTCTTCAACCAAACCACCAGGCCTTTCAGACAAAGCAAGCAGGTCTTGAATTGGGCTGGAAGCAGCACAGATGTGCTCCGTCATGCAGGCATCTCCGCCAGCAGGTGCTCTGTTTGTCACTGCTATTGTCTGCTTATCTACTTCCTCTCAGGAGAAACCAAGACCGCCCCTGTTTTGGCTGTGGATTTCATTCATGCAACCCTGATTTGTCCTTTTCTTTCTTTCCCTATTTCTCATCTCTTCTGTAAATCTCGAGATGTTAAAAGATTTGTTTTCCTCTAATGGCTTTGCCTCTCATCTTTGATTCCAACCTCCTGTGAGAGATAAGTCTAAACTGCAAACACGTTTTTATCAAATAATGTGTGTGAGAATTATTTTCAGCTCACCTTCCACACATATGGCAGCAGGAAACAGCTCCTTCAGCAGGTCTCCCAACGTAAGCGCGTGGCCTTCAGGAGACACTGGTCGGAAGAGCTTCTGGATGAATGGTCTGTCACTCATCGTCTAAAATGAGACAAATATGAAACCCATTAGACTGATTATGTTAGTAGAATCACAGTGTAAAGTTCTCAAAAAATGCAGAATCTGAATTGTGTCACTGAAGAATGTTGAAGAACGCCTATTCACTTTTATTTGGTGGACAGTTTTAGTTTGGTGGACAGTTTTCACGGTATCTGTTTGTATTAGTGATGCGTGGATCAGGGTTATATCTACGGACATATCCACAGGTGGGCATAATAGTAATAAAAGTATTAAAAAAATAACATTCTGATTAATTGCAGGTGGGTCATGGGTGGATGAGACAAATTGTTAATAAAGGAAATATTAACTACATCCTCTAAAATGTGAACATGCTTAAAACTTAATTATTAACTATTGCTGCATAATTATCAAAAGTATCAATGTGATAAAGAAATTTCACATCACCATTTCACTTGTTTTTGACCTAACAGCCTACTCTTCACATAACAGGGCCTGTAGGTGGCACTTGGTCTATATTTAACCGACTATGATAGTTTCATCATAGTCAACAGTAAACGGTATATCAGTATGAAATATGTAAATAACAGTAAACTAAACACTACTTTCAATTAATGCAACTACTATTTTAGCCATTTTAGTTTGTTAAAAAAAACTGAAAACAGACAGTGTCTACGTAGTTTTTAACCAATTTATGAACAAGACTGGGAAATTACCACTCCACTTCATTGTCATTGACAATGAAATTTGAGCTTGTTTGAGCAAGACACATGCAACTCACAGCAACGCGTAATGGCAACAACATCTCAGATTGACAGATAAGTTAAAATAAACCCGAATTTTCAGACTTTTGAGCTATTAGTTACTGTTTTGTACACACTGTCATATTAATTATAATTGGAGGGTGGATGATTTATTTTTAACAGCAGAGTGAGGTTACAGCTGACATGCGCATCTCTAGTTCGCATATAGTCTATTTGATTTGTGACTGTGTATCTATGCTCCGTAAGCTGAAATTCTGAAACACTAAAACTGTTGATAACATTAAAAAACTAAAAAAAAAAAAGAAAAAAGATTTTGAATGATTGTGCTTGATAGGTCAGTTTACAAAAGTTGTGTTTCTGGCAGTTCCAAAACAAGTATCAATAGAATCAATAGAAAGTGAAAAGTTCAGAAAGTTCCTCGTCAGCATGAAGTGAACATTCTGTTGTCTAAATGCACTGATCCCAATGTGAATAATTATTCCATGCATTTTTTTTTTTTTAAATGTTAAATTTTTTTAAACATTCGAATCAAAAAATATTAGATAAAATCAAAAAAATATTAGATAAAAGTCTTCAATCTACATTTTTTGTTTTCTTCTTCAATAATGTGTTTCACTCGGATATACATTGCAATATGCAAGAAAAGATTGCTACTTAAATTCAGCATTTTTTTTATTATTTGTTTTTGCTAAATTGTATTATCTACATTGGCACAAGCCCATAATGGTCAAATTTAAAATACAATTATTTAAACTAAAACAGTTTTATTTTTTTTGTTAGTACAATGGAAAGTGAGAATGAAGTTTCTTTTAAAAACAGAACAGGCTTCATGATTTACTCTGAAAAAAAAAACAAAAAAAAACTTCTGCATTTTATAAAAATAATAATGTTGTTTATATTCATGAAGAGTTGTTTCAGATGATGTGTATATATTCAGAGTATATACTGGAATATTGGAAAGCTAAGAATCACCACACAACAACAACACCAGCAAAGTTGGCACACGAGTTGGGAGAAATGGCATCTATGTCATTTCAGAGTACCCACTTTTCACATCCATTATGGAGCGTTAACAACACATAAATCATTTGTCAATATCTTGTCAGTTAGCAACTGCTTTAACCCACACCTAGTTGGGTATAATGTTGTGAATTGCTGAATAAGATATTGAGCAGATTAACAGCCAGCAGTTACGGCTTAGTCTTTCCTTTGGCCTTGAGCGAGCGAGCGAGGTGTCGAATGCTGAACAGGATCCAGTTTTCACACACAACTTGCATGTGGTCAGTGACAGAGGGTATCATTCTGTAAGATCTGGACCTACGGTGACAAACAGCGGCCTGACAAACAATAGGAGTCAATCTTGGTGCTGTGAAAAGGAAACTGGTGACACAACGGCTCAGGTAGTCCAGCGGACACCGACACCCCCAGGTTTTAGGAAGAGAAGGTGTCTCAGGATGCTACGACCTCGATCAGGTTACCAGAAAAACTGACTCACTGCTCACTTGCACCAAGATCATCCCCAGAGTCAGAGAAGAGAGAGTGTGAGAAGTGACAGCTACTTCGTTGCATTTTTAAACGGCAGCATTAATTATTGACCCCAGCATTATCCAAAAGGCTCCTGATACTGATGAGAAGTGTGATACTCTGGGTGCCGACACTTTCTTTTCAACTCCACTGACACCCTAGCTGGCAAACCAGCACATGAACCACACAACAGACATCATTAGCCTTTCTCCAAAAGCAAGAGGCCAGAGAAAAGAGATGCTCTCAGGTCTCAGAGCTCATGATCAGAGGCTAGGCTATTCTTTAGAGTATGCAGACAAGTATAGGTTCTTTAAGCAATAATCGGAGTGTAAAACACAAAGTAAGTCACTCAGGGAAGCAGGTACTCCTGAGCCTTGCCTTAATGAGATGAGTGGTAATAGTAAATTTAAACAACCATGTCATTTAAATATTCAAACCCTTCAATACAAAGTCCAAACAATATTAATATAATCAAAAAATGAATCCGACGAAGCGTGAATCCTTATAAGGCAATATAAGGATTCCTAACACCGTGTCTACACCGGACGCGAGCGGCGCGGCAAAATACTATAGAACCACTGATCTATAATAGAGATTCATTATATATAGATCAGTGTATAGAACTTATTATAATCAGTGATGCTGCCTACACTGGATGCGGCGCAGTGCGACACGACAAATCCCCGACAGTAAACTGCTGCCGCATTCTATTTATGACGTGCTGACACAAATTTCAAATGATTTTCAACAGTCACTTTGTCGCGTCCAGTGTAGACAGACTTTAGCTGATGTGGCACGGTGCGGCGCGACATGATAACTGTCGCGTGTAGTCTGTTACATTACAGTACATACAATTTCACTTACCACATAAACAGAGTAAGGAGAGATGACTGAGGACGATGGCGAATGATTTGCAGATCCTGTGCACCATCTAATCTGGTAAAATGTGTGGTAAGTACTGCCGCTCCATAGTATAAACAGACTACGTGCGATCGCGAATCTCGAAAGTGAAAGTGAAACTTAAAAAGCCATTGTGCATTCAAAAGCAGTTTCAATGGCAGGTATAACAGCGGCTCCCTGATGCCCGAAATATATGTAGTATAATTACCATAACTGCGAGGGAAAATATTGAAATATATATATATTTTCCTCCCATCTCGTATTTATTCCCTTTTGGGGTTCCGTATACACGTAATTTTCTTTCCGAACACGGTATTGGGATACGGCGGATTGCGGGGGAGTATTGTGGGGGGGGGGATCACGATGCCGACTCAACATCGTGATGTCTATCGGCCCAACCCTAATTCAAACTGTCAATTCAGTCAATACAGTCAATGAATGAATGAATGAAAAAAATATTAATTCAAATTTTCACATAAAAGTCCAAGGTGCTGAATTCAAAAATGTAAAAAAAAAATAATAATAATTTGATTAATGATTATTAAAATATCAACCAAAATATCCAAACTGACGTTCAAATATTCAAATGGTGAATTCAAATAATCAAATAAACATTTAAATTACTGTATCAATTCAAATATTTAGACAAACATTTGCACTGTGAATTTAAAACATTCAAACTGTCAATTCAAACATTTAAATATTGAAATTGCCAACTGGACATTCGAATCCAGCATTCAAACAGCTGACTGCAGAATTAAAGCAAGGAATTAGCTGAATATAGCATTCTGGGACAATTAATTTAACTACAATGTAAAGAATTATTTAAAAACAATTGCTTTTAACATTTGACCAACAGGTGGTAATGTCACAGAATAGATATGACATTATGGATATCAGTCATTATCTTTTTTGTTTGTTTAGTTAGTATAACGGAAATTGAAAATGGGAATTATTTTAATAGGGACAGGCTTCACCCTGAAAAAACAGATACATCATTTATGCATTTCATAAAAATAATAATGTTGTTTATATTCATGAAGGGTTGTGTCAGATTTTTTTTTTTTTTACATCATGCCATTATATTTATCGATGCATTACACTAGATGATCAAAAGCAATAATCAAAAGCATCTGAATACATTTTGATCATTAGGTGGTGCTGCCCCAAATTTTTCAGGTACTTTCAAAGCATGACGACACCTAACAAGTTTCAATATCATGATTTTAGACCAAACTATTCAGACATTTTAATCTATTTGCCATATTTCTTGATCAGTAGGTGATGATTTGCCAGTAATCTGCTCAGGTACCATCAAGGAATAGTCCCAATGAGTTTCATTTCAACAGGCCAATGTGTTATGAAGACAGATCTTCACTTTTTATTCAGCAAATTTGCTGATGCATTATAGAAGCATTTTTTTATGGTTTACATTAAGATCGTTCTATCCACATACTGGTATTTATTGGAGAGCTCATTGTAATTTCCTGGTTTGTTGCAGCCAAGATTCAGATTATTACAAAAATCAAGCCTTTTAGAACCTAAATATAATTTTCATTTATAAATAATAAACAAAACAAAAAATTGTATCACTCTCCTAAATGTTTTTGCTAAAAAAATCATAAAAATCGTAAAATATCATAAACAAAAATATTTCTGCTATTCGCTAAGTCAAATCAGTCAAATCCTTTACCGTACTGTACTGTACATGACTGTAGAAAGTAAATAAATGAGGAAATACCTGATATATTCTAAAGGGAATATAGCGGAAGCCTCCCTCATTGATAGGATACTCCATGAGCTTTCGATTCATGGCCCAGAACTGGTCGAATTTATCTGATAAAAGAAAGAAATTGTTTTAATCAATGACAATAACTCATGTTTCATTTTGATTCTCTCTCTGAAATTATGCAGCACAGTATTGTACAAACAATTTGAATTTCTTTCTTCCATGGGGCAGCCTCAGTCACCATTTACTTTCACCGTATGGAACAAAAATTCAATGAAAGTGAATAGTGGCTAAGGTAGTCAGTCCCTAACATCTGTTTAGCATCTCTTCTTGTGCTCCACAGAAGAAAGAAAACCATTTAGGTCTGGAACAAAATTATTCCAAATAAAGGTCCATTCACACCAAGAACAATAAATACAAAATAACTACAACTATATTAGCATCCACTGCAATGGCCAATAACATTCTGTTTATTATAAGCGCATGATGCTGTTTTGTTGTCTGCCGCTTTAAATGCTTGAGCACTTTAAAGTCGGACAGATTCTGCCTGGCTGCCATTTATACAGCAAATGTATGTATTGTTATTCAGCTGGAAAAAAATCATTCTGAAAGTGATTCCAATGATACCATTCCTCTGTGTCTTTATCATTACAGCTGTGAATTATAGTTGTGGATTTCCCTATTCTAACAGAATTATAATGATTATTAACATTTTATAGTTACAGTTGATAACTTTGGAATAAACAGGCATGAGTTCTGAGCTAAGCCGTGTGTGTTCCGTCATGCTGGCTGCGTTCTCACATGTGCAGGTGAAAATCAACATCCGCTTAGAAATTGTTACTTTCTCTGCTCACACACTCTCATCAGAGAACAGGACAGCTGTGACAGTGTGTTATCAAAACATCTATGCTTCTGAAACTTACACCTCTCTCAGTTTATCTGCAGAGCTTCACATTTTCACCTTTAAATTAACTACTGAAACCACTGCCTAAGCACTGCCTGCATCGCACGCACTAATTCTCAGATGAAAGTATGGGTTTGAAGTTACTGAGGACATTATGTGTAAAGCTCAAAGTTAGAATGCACCACACAGCTTTTCAACTATTTAAACTATTTCATGCAAAAATGAAACTTTACTCAGGACATCCATGATGTAAATTAATTTGTTCCTCCATTTTTTTGGGCAGATTTATAGAAAATTAGCATTACATCATGTGCTCACTTCAGAGGGTCCACTGTTGAGCATGCGATATAATGCTAAATTTCTCCAAATCTGTTTGAATGAAGAAACAAACTCATTACATCTTGGATGGCCTGAGGGTGAGTACATTTTCAGCATTTTTTCACTTTTGGGTAAACTATTCTTTTAAAATCTCTACAGATTTTAAAATTATTCACACACTTTCCAACTTTGTAAATGGTTACAGAGGAAAAAAATTGGACTTCATACACTAAACAACTAAGGATCACACAAACACAACAAACTCAAGCAGAAGCATGCGTCTCATTGCTAGGAAAAATGAAAACAATATTTGTTCTAAAATCATCTCAAAATATCTAATATTTTATATCCTCTGACTGGACGGAGTCTGTCCATCATACACTATGTATTTTCTATGAAATCTGTCAACTATGGCAGCTAAAAATCTCCAAACTGGCTATAACTTTCTGCAAATACCGTCAACTCATTCAGACTGCAAACTGGGGCAAAAATATGGGCAAAAGTTGAGTAGTGTATCCCAGTTTTAAAGGCATTGTTCACCCAAAAATGAAAATCCTGTCATCATTTACTCACACTCAAGTTGTCCAAAAGTTTCTTTCTTCTGTTGAACATACAAGAAGATATTTTGAAGAATGTGGGTTACCAAACTGTTGCTGGTCCTCATTGACTTCCACAGTATGGAAGAAAAAATATGGGGACCAAAAACTGTTTTGTTACCCACTTTCTTCAAAATAGGCCTATTTTTTTTTGTGTTCAACAGAATACATAAATTCATAAAGGTTTGAAAGAACTTGAGGGCAAGTAAAGGATTACGATTTAAATTTTTGGGTAGCTTATCCCTTTAAGGCAAGACACAACAAGTAAAACTATTGTTTTGTTTTTTCAGCCGCGGGGCAATTTTGGGCTATTTTTTCTTCCATAACTTGTCTACTTTAAGACTAGTGTTTCTTTTATTACACTTTATGTATTTGGATCTGTAGATTTCTATTACAATACATATTTTTAAAGGCAGTTTCCTCAAAATTAGCATTTTCTCCTGCACTAAGCCATAAATCTCTACTTCCTTAGCACTAACACACACCAAACTTTACAGCTTTATCTATATTATGAAGCTTTCTAAAGATTTCTATTCCTAACAAGGTAAAAGTAAAAAGGTATTTTTTTCCTAGCTGTTGACAGTATTTCCTGAATTATGCAGCAATAAAAAGAGATATCCAAATTCTAATATTAAACATTTATTATTTAAACAACATTTCAGAAAACTTTTAATAAAAATTAATGGTTTTAATCTAGTGATTTTTCACATAATTTACCTTTATTCCACACCGCTCTGTCCCTTCTCTGAGAAACATGCTGATCATTTCGTGCTTTTATGAAGCCCCTCCCTCAGAAATACACAATGGGCTCTGATTGGTTAGCTAGCCCAGTGTGTTGTGATTGGCTAAACCACCTCTGGTGCGCGTCTAATCGTCCCGCCCCTCCCCTCAGCGGCATGTGCTCCGGTTGTATTGTAAACAACGGAGTCGTTAATATCGCTTATCAGTTTGAGCCCAATTGAGAAGCAGAGGATATTATTGAAGAGGATCGTGCAGAACCTATGCAAGCACGGCTTTTAATGGTAGGCCTATGTTTTTTGTTTGTTGCTGTCTCATACTTTTAGATACGCTGTTATTTGTAAATGCTTCTGCTTATGTTAGCTTTTAATATACAGTTTTATCCTGATTAAAGCTTTAATACAGTTCGGCAACTGCACGCGCGTCCATGTTTAATGCTTCTCATAGCTATGTGAAAATAAGTGTAGAATTGGAACAGTTCATTGTTCGAGCTGAGCTGAATGAGAGACAGAGATGCAGAGCGTGTGCAGAGCAGGGGGACGCGATGAACAGTATTAAGAACAGCTGCTTTAATGCTACTGCTTATGTTAGCTTTTAATATACAGTTTTATCCTGATTAAAGCTTTAATACAGTTCGGCAACTGCACGCACGTCCATGGTTAACGCTTCTCATAGCTATGTGAAAATAAGTGTAGAATTGGAACAGTTCATTGTTCGAGCTGAGCTGAATGAGAGACAGAGATGCAGAGCGTGTGCAGAGCAGGGGGACGCGATGAACAGTATTAAGAACAGCTGCTTTAGAACATTGATTTTGAAACTTGTGAATCCATTAGAATCGTTAGAAGACAGAATCACGATTCATATATG